GCCTAGAGCAACTGAAGAAACACTCATGATGACAGGAGAAAACACTTCATGAAAGATCAGCACTGAAATATGTCTTGGAGCAAATTGCTCTTTTCCTCAATACTGCATTATTTTTAAAATAACCAAGCATTTTGACATTAAGATGCTTTTCCCTGGAATTCTTCAAATTTTCTTCAACACAATTAAAAAAAAAATGTCAGGCTAAAATATTTTTAACATAATGTTTAGCACTACTTTCATTGAAAACACAGATAAGACAATTTTATGATTGAAGATAGGTGAGTACTGTGATTCTTTCAAATAATCTGAAATGCAATGTTGCTTTTCTTGAGTTGCTCTCTGGGTGAAAGAACAAATGAACTGCAGAAATTCAAAAGTTCCTTGCTCAGCCGCTGCCCATACCTGGCAGGTCACTCCATGGATTTGCATCATGGAAGACATTCTGACAAACATCACTTGCATGTTTGTGTTTTATTTCTTTCATTTCATAGAATATATAATCTCAAATCCAAAATCATTTAACCCAAGATCCTTTCTTCAGCAAAAACTGGTTTGCTTGTTTTTTGAGTGTCTTAACAGGCTAGAGTGTCACCCTTATCCAAGGCTTGGCTTTCTACAGCTTCAGTTACTTTGGCCAACAGTGGTCCAAAACTATTAAATGGAAAATTCTAGAAACAAACAATTCATCAGTTTTGTGCTCTACGTCATTTTAGGTGGCATGATGAAGGCTCACATTGTGCCCACTCTGTCCTCCAGGGACACACATGACCCCTTTGTCCATCATATCCATGCTGTATATGCTACCATCTTTTAGCTGCTTAGTAGCTGTCCTGGTTATCAGATTGTCACTGTATTGCAGTGCTTGTGCTCAACTAGCCCTTATTTTACTTAGTAGTGGCCCCAAAGAGTAAGAGTAGTGATGCTGGCTATACAGATAAATCAGAGAAGCTGTAAAGTTCCTTTAGGTGAAAAGGTTAAAGTTCTGAACTTAAGGGAGAGAACAAACCAATAACCAATAAGAACAAATCTTCTGTGAAACTGTCACAGAAGATTTGTTCTTATTGGGTATTTGTTCTTATTGTTCTTATTTGTTCTTATTGGATTTTGCCATTTGGGTACAGATCTGCTTCTGTACCCAAATGGCAAAAGATACTGTCACAGTCTAAGAGCCTGGCTAAGATGGGAAAGCACTGCATTCATAGATGTATGTACAGGAAAAAAAAACAGTGTATTAAGATTTGGTGGGGGTATATCTCCTAAAAAATCAAAGGGAAATCAGTAGAAGAAAAGGACCAAGAGGTGGGAGGGGGAGAGAGGAAAGCAATGGGAGTGATATTGGCCAAATTACATATATCCCATCAATATTATAACTGTAATGCACTCAAAAAAAAAAAAAAAAGATCTAGTACTATGGTGGTGTCAGGCATTCATGGAGTCCTGGAGTGTGTCCCTCAAGGATAAGGAGGCTACTACATTAACACTTAAAAGTTAAAGTTGAGGAAAATCTTTAAAATTACATGTGAAGATTGGCAAACATAAATAGAATTAGAGAATCTGCCAACCTTCCTTGTGCACCTGAACCAGCACTATTTTAAGACACTATAAACAAAAACATGGATAAGGTTCCAAACCTGACTGCCTCTTCTCCTTTTCACCAAAACCTGATTTCTGGGAGCTATTGGCAGGTGCACAAATGCATCCCTCTCTGATCCAATTACTGTCCATTCTGGCTAAAATTCTTTTCTTCAAAAAACATATCTGACATACAAACACACCAGACTTGGGGATCTTGTTTCACTTTGCTTTTATTTTTTACAATATACTTACTGCATGTATTCAATATAGCATATTTCAGATGTACAGAACTGATAGTTATAAAGCAAAACTGTATGTAGCACACACCCAGCCCCTCCCACCCAAGGACTAGAATGTTATTCATTTGACCTTAATCTGCCAGTGTTTCTATCTGAAATGCAATGTTGCTTTCCTTTACTGAGTTGCTCTATGGGTAAAAGAACAAAGGAACTGCAGAAATTCAAAATTTCCTTGCTCAGCTTCTGCCATACCTGGCAGGTCACTGGATGGATTTGCATCATGGAAGACAGACAGTCCCCATTTATTGATCCTCCTGAGCTAAATTTTGGTTTATCACTATTAACTTTTTTTAACAGTACAGTTTTTGTATGCATGATCAGACAATATATTCTTTGGTTTTGCTTGTTTTTGAGCTCAATGATAATAGTATCTTACTACAAGTAGTGTCATGGAAATTGTTTTTTCCATTAACATTTTGAGATTCATTCTTATTGCCAGGTATAACTACAGATCATTCACTTTCATTACAGATGGTATCACTTGGAGTAAATATATATAATTTATGAATCTACCCTCTACAGACAGATGTTTCACTTTTTCTAGTTACAAACTATTACACGTTACTATGAACATTCTTGCATATTTCTGCATATACATGACTGCAAGATGAAAGCTAGATCACAAGATCTGCAAACATTCATGTCAGCAAGTGTAACTGTTTTCTACAGGAATGGTGACTTGCAAAACGTGTGCGTTTCACAGATCTTCTCTAACCCCTCCTATGATCAGGCCCGATTTTTGCAAATCTTAAGGATATACAATGGAATTAAGACTGTGGTCTTAATTTATACTTGCCAAATCAGTAATGCTAGGGACATCTTCCTATTCATTTATAAGCCCCATGAGAAATGCCTTTTTAAGTTTCTTCTATTTTTTCAAAATATAAACTACATAACTAATCTTTTGTCAGTTTTTTATATTGTGAATACGTTCTGGTTTGTTTCTTCACTTTAAATTATTTGCTTAATATAGCCCTTGGTTTGGTTGAATTGATTCAGTCATCTTTTAGGGTTAGTGCCTGTTGTTCCTGCTTTATGGAGGTTTTCATGTGAAGTTTAAAACTGCTGCTGTCTGCACTTTGCACATTTGGAATCGGCTGTTGGGCAAGAGGGGAAGCAGCACTAACTCTCCTTCTTTCCCAGATGCACAGTCATACTCTAGCACTGTACTTCTCGAGCTGGCCCTCCTCTCCTTATTCGTTGGCCACACCATTCCTACTGGGCCACCAAGGCCAACACAACATATCCATGGACTGGTTTCTAGGCTCTCATTCCACTGCTCAGAAAGTCACCTCTGCACCACATGACACTCTATGATAAAACTTGATGTACTATAAAACAAATCCCCTAACCCTCTTCATCTTCAGAAGCATCTGGCCCTCTTACCCCTTTGCTATTCTACATAAGTTTAAATATTTGCTTATGTTTAACATAACCTTTGTTTGAATTTCTGTTGGAAACAGTATTAAATCTATAGCTTAATTTGGGAAGCTCTAGTATCTTTATAGTCTTTAATTGTCCCATTCTCTGTGAACAAACAGTTCTTCATTTGTTCTTTTTAAAAATATTTTTTAGTTACACGTGGACACAGTATCTTTATTTATTTTAATGTGGTGCTAAGGCTCAAACCCAGTGCCTCACAGATGCAAGACAATTGCTCCACCACTGAGCTACAACCCCAGCCCTCATTTGTTCTTTTGATGCTTCTTTAGCCTTTAAATTGTTTGTTTTATTTATTTATTATCTATTTATTGTACCAGGGATTGGACTCAGGAGTACTTAACCACTGAGCCACATCATCCCTAGTCTCTTTTTATTAAGACAGGGTCTTACTAGCTTTGAACTTGTGATCCTCAGCAGCCTCCTGAGCTGCTGGGATTACAGGAGTGCACCACTGTGCCCAACTCTTTATTCTTCAAATGTTAAACCAGGATTCAATCACTGTGTTCCTGAATAAATCTACCACCATCCATCTCAAGTAGGATAAGTGCATCTTTAAGTGCAAAGTTCTAAAAAAAGATTATGGGTAAGCCTGAGACTTGTGGCTTGGGCAGAAGCATCTCTCCCCGTCAGTGAATGTGCTGGGGTTAAAATGAGGCGTCAAAGACAGGGTTTGGGACACAGGGTGAGACCCAAGTATGTCCTCGGGAAGGAGCTGAGCATCACCATGTCCATCAACAGAGGGAAGTCTAGATGGAGAGAACTGCAGCTATAGACTGGACAGCCTCCCCTCTCAGACAGCACTGCCTGAGAGGCCACTGCTGACCAACTGCTGGGGACATGAGAGTTTCAGTGGGCAGAGAGAGTTACGAAAAGGGTTGATACATTATCATAAATATAGAAGGTTAATCAGAGAAGGAATGTCAAGGGGGAACCAGTGTAGAGAAATTTTTGAAAAACTGGTCAATACTGTCTAAAACCAAAGAAAAGAAAACCTTGTTGCAAAGGCCCCTGGGACTAATAATCACGAGGTCCCTAGTGGCAGGAGTAATGAGAAAGCACAGGGCAGGGGTTTGTGTATGTGTGTGCATTACAGAGAACGTGAGGAGAAAATGGCTGGCAGGGGCTAGGTACCCTATGTCTGCTGACGGCATGCCTGACTGTTCTCCATGAGTTCACTGTATGAAAGGTGGCGGCTAGCAGAATGGGTCAAAGGAGAAATAGTATTTAAGACCTGAGCTCAACCACCAGCCTCCTGCAAACCAGCCTCCTCAGTAACAGCAGAACCAGCAGCAAAATGGGGACAATTCTTTAGAGGGAAAAGTTTACATGGAGCCTTGGTGAATGCGGAGGTGCTAAGCGCACAGTTCACGTCAGTCCCAGATGCTGACAATGGAAGAGGTTGTGGATTGAGTTAGCCACACAGGGAAGACCTGAGTCTAGAATGTCACTAAACTCCCTGCCTTTGAAGTCCTGCTTCTCTGGCACCTGAGATAAACCCAGGAGGGTGCCTTCAGGTTGTATTTTATTCTTAATCATCACATAGATACTTGAACTTACAAAATTTTTGTCTTTAGAAACAGATCTTTCATGGGATTAGCCTGACATCACATTCAAGAAAGCCACTCTATCTCAAACCAGCTGAGAGAAGATATGGCAAGTATTTAACAATCAGGACACTTTTAGTAACTATTCAAATAAAATATATTAAGATATTTGAAGGAGGTTTCTTTTTCCTGTAGAAGAATGTCCCAAAGCCTAAATAATATACCTGCTATGGAACAGGAAGTAAGTTCTCCAACTAAGTGGCTCAGGACACCAAGTGCTATTCTCAATCTGAAACAAGTTAAGTGTACCTAAAGAAAGTACACAATCACCTTCACTTTGGGGATAAGCGATACTGGAAATGCATGCTGCTCTCCAATAAACACATACATGCTATGGCTGCTACGCAGAATTATTTCCCAAGTCTTCTTATTTTCTCCCTTTCACCTCCAACAAACCTCAACATACCACTGCTTTAGGGGCATGGCCAGCTGATATGCAGTGAGATAAGTGAGGATGTTTGGCTCACAGTGAGTGAGTCCCAATGGAGCACATAACATAGGAGGCAGATTCTCTTTCCCAGTCAAATGAGGTCTGAACCCCTGATCTAGCAGTTCAGTCCAGTCATTACGATGCAAAATTTCCCCATTCTTTTGCCCTCTGTTAACCTCTTGTTCTCTTTTCAGGAGCACCTGCTACATGATGAGTCTGGGGGCTACCTACAGAACTCCACAGAAGCTACCATTTATTAAGAACTTGCTGTGTGCCAGATGCCATGTGAATTGTCCCACATGCATCATGTCCTTTAGTCTGCATCTCATATCAATGAGACAAAAACCACTCTTTATTCTCACTTTACAGATGAGAAAGCATATTGGAAAGTCTAAGTAATTTACTTATATCACACAGCTATTAAGTAGCCAAAGCTGAAATCTGAGTCCATGTATATCTGACTTCGAAGTCCATGAGCTTACCATTTCCCCTAAAATGGCCCAGAACAAGTCAATATGCTATTTCTAAACTGTATGAGTTTCGAGTTAGATCAGTATAGAAAAAGAAGAATTGAATGACATCAGACTGTCCACAGTCCAACTCTGCAAAGGTCACTGCAGCTGAGCTAAGAATCTGCTCAATTCCGAAGACATTTAAAAGACATGAACCACCCTTAACTGCCACTCCTTCTCCACTTCCTTTTATCCCCCCTCAGGGAAGGGATTAGGAAATTATGGGAGCACACACACAAAAAAAACTTGGAGAGCGTGACTGCACTCAGCACACCAGGGCAAACAGCTCAATATTTCTGACATGCGAGCAGTGAGATGCCTTAGCCAAAAGGAGTTCTGCAGCCATTTAGCTGAGCCTTAGAAAATGAAGTCTTTCCAAGAGAGCAGAGATACTCTCTTTCCTGTCAGAGTCTGCTGTTGGGACCATTTAGATTAAACACCCCATTTCTCACAGTGGCACTCTGCCCCAGGGTTACATTTCTCTATTTCTCTATTCCAACCAGGTTGCAGGCTTATTTTCTAGGAGGAGTAAGTTCCCTCCTAGATCCAAGGTAAAATGGAGAAGAAGCAGGCTGACTTGCTTTGAAATGCAAAAGATCTGTTTCCAGCTTGTCCAGTCCCCAGGTACCAGGGACACCATGAGAGTTACGGAACCTCACTGCTACTCATTCAAGGTACCTAAAAACAGCGATGTCTTCCAGAAGTCCCCAGAAGCCCTGTTCCTCCATAGCAGCTCCAGGATAGTTTCCAAAGCTAGAAGCAGGGCTGTGCTGACCAGATGCACTCAGGCCTTTTTGTTGTTTTTAAGGCACTTTGGATTATCTCTCTTTGAGGTGAGCAAGTACACAGAAGGTTAAGAGGAGGAGGGCGGGGAGGAGGAAAAGTTAGTCTGTATCATATCCCAAGATGGGTCCAAGCCATTTCTCTACGTCAGCCACAGTCATGTTCTTCCTCAGAGCATAATCTTCAACCTGTAAAAGATAGAAGCACCCAAGTAAATCCAAGTGCTAAGACTATCTGAACTAAAGTTTCCTCAGGTTTTGTCAAGAAACATTAAGTACCTTCCATTTCTTATCTTAGTAGCAATCGACTGAGTTAAATGCAGATAGATATTTATCTGTCTACCTAGCTGCCTTCATCTCTGGGCAGAAAACAGTACTTAATAAATACCCACTGTATAGAAGCAGGCTGTGTATGCTCCTGGTAGAGGGAGGGCTGGAATAAGGTAATTGGCTAAGATCAAATTCAGACATTAATGGGGAAAATATCATCATTCCCTTCCCTTCCTTTATTCTCATTCACAGGTAAAATAAAATAGATTCTAGAGTTCCATTTAAAACACAACAGGCATCCAAGGAAACCACACACTTACCTGATCCTTGGAAATTTTCCCCACAGCAAAATATTTGGACTGCAGATTGGAGAAGTAGAGGCCTGATACTGCAGAAGCGGGTGCCATTGCCAAAGACTCTGTCAACCTGATGCCTAGAGAGGGCAATACAGAAAACGCTCATTCACTGGGGGCCTCGTGTGGGGCACTCAGCAGACTCGCTGAACACATAAATGAAAGTAAATTTTATACCTTCTAGGTAGACACATGGCCCAGCAAGAAAGCTGTGACCAGAAGGGTCTAGCAAATTCCTACCGGACAGAAAAACAAAGTCAGAACATGCAAGAGACTGGAAAGAGATTCTCTGTATTCTTCCCCTGTTACCAAAGATCAGTGCAGAGGCTGCAACCTGCTGCTAAGCCTGGGGAAGACAGAGCCATCTGACAGCTCCACATAGCTCCAGGGGCCAGCAACAAGAGCAATGACTGATAGCTGGTGCCAGTGAGGAATGAGCTCACAATAGCACAAGAAAGAAGCAATACTTTCTCCTGGGGTCTGGGAACCCAAAAGGACCCCCAAGGCTATCTATTCTAAGCTACTCATGTTATGGACATGGAAAGAGAACAACGCAAAGGTCAAGTGCCTTGCCACAGATCCCCAGCTGGCTTGTGGAAAACAGGACCCAAATCCAGATCCCAGGACTGCTTGCATTGTGCAGTTTCTCACTTCAACCTGGATTCCTTTAGCTCTGCCAGCTTGACAGCATGCCTTTCATTATTCCCACTGAAAACTGTGAACTGTGCCTCAGTCTTGTCAACATGTGATCTGTGGTAAGGGCTAGAACCTGCATAAGGATGGGACAATGCACAGCCACGGAACCATGGCAGATTCTGCCCTGGGCCAGGAATGCTGACACTGGGCGCCCCGGTCTCTATCTCAAGAGTACATGTGCAAACTTTCCATTTTAACTATAAGAATCAAAACACAGATAAAACATGAGTAAATTATGAATACAGAAGAGCATAAATGTTCATACCAGCATGATAGGAAAGAGGAGGGAGCTGGAAACTCTGAAAGGCTGGTGTCCAGAGATACCACCAGCAAACAACATGGGCCTGAAGCAGATAATACCACCAATAGGACATCATCTGTGGGTTGCTAAGGAGGGATGAAAGATACTATCACACCAGCAAGAGAGAACTGGGGCAAGAGGGCAATGGGCCGGCAAGGAGTGGGAGAAGATATCTCATTCATGGTAGGTCAAGAGAAAATAATTTAAATTGATCAATCTATAAAGGTGATATAAAAAGACAATATAGTAGTTTGAAAGTAAAATACAATGCATAGCTAAAAGTGAGAAAGGGAGGGATAAGAGTTGATTTCATCGTAACTCTTCTATTTTTAAAAAATCTCTAACCATAGGTGCCATTACCCTGGTAAAAAGCGTAACTGAGTGAGGAAAGACAGGCGCTCACCCTTCCACACACACCTGTGCACTGCTCGATGTCAGCCAGTCTCCACATGGTGAGCTTCTCAGTGTGGTCAGGCTGGCTGGGATAGCCGGGAGCTGGCCGGATCCCCTCATACCGGAGCTTGCGCAGGTCCGGGACGCTCAGCTGCTCACTGCTGCAGTAGGCCCAGAATTCTCTGCGAACCCTCTCATGCAGCTCCTCTGCAAAGGCCTGGAAACCAGAGCAGAGGGTCAGGCAGCAGCAGGAGCGTGTGGCATGCCAGCAGCCTCCCTCCCGGTCAAAGTCACACGGAACAGCCTCCCTCGGCAGGCCCACAACCAGGGTGAAGTTGCAAGAGGGGACAGGCTGCGTTCTTGAGAGTTTATCCTTTCATTAGCCACTCTGCCGCTCTACAGCAACCTGAACCTGGACTCTAGGTGTCATGTTTAATGATCTGAGAATTCCAAGATTTTTAATATTAATGTTCTCTGAAAGTCAGTCTACGGCACCACTCCCAGAAAGAGCAGCAGAGACCACATAGCTGCGTTCCTCCATGGCTCACCACAGGGAAAGAGGGCAGGCTCTCCCCACAGCCTTGGCTGCCCTATCCCATATAGCAAGATGAAGAATCTATAGAAGATACAACATCAGAATGAGGGGTTCTAAAACAAACATGTTTTGTTTTGCATTGGCGGGGGGTATCAAGGATCAAACTCAGAGGCACTCAACCACAGAGCCCCATCCCCAGCCCTATTTTGTATTTTATTTAGAGACAGGGTCTCACTGAGTTGCTTAGCGCCTCATTGTTGCTGAGGCTGGCTTTGCACATGCAATCCTCCTGCCTCAGCCTCCTCAGCCACTGGGATTACAGGTGTGCGCCACCACACCCAACCTGGTTTTTAATTCTGGGGGTGGTTCTCAGAAAAACATTACACCACAGCAAGCAAAGGAGGCATCAGACATAAGGCAAGAGGTAAAGGTTCTAAGGCAATGGCTAACTACAGCACCACTGAAGGTTTTCCTTTGCCTGAAGGATGATACATGAAAACTACTTAGGGATTTGTGATTTCTAAAACATGGGTAATGTTAAAGCCAGCACAGCATATGAATCAAGGAAAAAAAGACTGGTTTTAATAGTGGTATCTTTCTGATACTATTGTGGTTATCTCACCCAGCTGGACTCCACTTCAGTGCCCAGTACACCACCACTGACTTACCTCTGCCAGCCGATCCCCCAGCGCCTTGACCATGATGCTGCTGTAGTCATCGCCCTGGTCCTCATAGGCCTTGCTCAGCTCTTCCACCCCAAAACATGCAACAGCAAACAGGCCCAGGTAGTCCCGGATCCCAGAATGCAGAGGAGCAATGAAGTCCGAGAGGCACTGGTATGAGTCTGTGCTGGCAGAGTCCTTCTCAGCCTTAAAACCCAAGCAGCAGGCACAGAAGCTATTAGCATGAATCTGGCTACCAGGACTGGCACAGAGGAAAGCAACTGGGGATCTTCAAATAATTCAAGCTTCATGGAACAGGGATGTTACCTATTTTGCTAACTATTAAACCTGTAGCACTTAGAACAGTGCCTGACATAGTGATTATTCAATGAATATTTGTTGAATAAACAAATTGCTGTGGTTCATGTGTGTAATTCCTTAAAGTGGCAATGTAGGGAGGTGGGGCCTGGTGGGAAGTATCTGAATTCTTATAAATGTACTACTGTGTTTCTTGCAGGAATGGTAAACTATGACTGGAGTTCAACCGTCTTTTCTTTTTGTGTGTGTGTGTGTGTGTGTGTGCCCTCTCCCAATTTCTGCCACTTTATGAAGCAGTACATGACCTTTACCAGAAGTGGCTACATAGCTTGAACTTCCCAGCCTCCAAAATATAAACAGAAATAATTTTTTTCTTAATAAATTATCAGTCTCATGTATTTTGTCTAGAAACGGAAAATGAAATAGGACACAAAATAAAATTTTAAAAACCCACTTATTTGTTCACTCACACACTGCCTGCACTGTGCTAGGAACCAGAACCTTAAACAAGTATACAAAAAAAAAAAAAAAAGCCCCCCCCCGAAAAAAAACCAAAATAAAACCAACGAATGACATGTTTACAAGGAAAATATATGGCATGAAAAGTATAAAGAATGTGAGCAGGAAAATGGCGAATACTACTATAAGGTTGTTACATTACACATGAAATAATAAAATAACAATATGAAATTCACCTTATTAAGTCAAAGCTAATGTGTTGCAAACCTCAGAGCAAACACTGATTTTTTTAAAGTACAATAAATAAGCCAATAATAAAATACAAAAAGTTTCCATTTAAAATAATAAAATATAAAAAATTTCCATTTAAAATAATAAAATACAAAAAATTTCCATTTAAAAGGGAGCAAGAAAAGATAAAAGATAAAATAAATGGGACAAATAGTTTTGAGGGTAGTAAACCTAAACTCAACCATGTTGATAACTATAATATTAATTGCAAATGGATCAAACATATGTATGAAAAGGCATAGATTGTGACTGGATTGTATATGCTCTCTTCAAGAAATATATACACATATACATCAAGACCCAGAAAAGTAATAGTAGAATCAGAAAAAGATAAACCATTTAAAAATAACCCTAAAGAGATGGAATGGCTATATTAATATCAGAAAAAGTACACTTCAGAACACAGAATATTATAAGAGATGAATAGGGACATATCATAATGACAAAAGGGATAATTTTAATCTTATTTTTCTTTTGAAACAGGGTCTCACTAAGTTACCCAGGCTAGTCTTGAACTTGGGGTCCTCCTGAGCTGCCTCAGCCTCCTGAATTGCTGGCATTACAGGTGAGTGTCACTATGCACAGCTACAATTTTAAATGTGTATATATTCAATAACACATTGGTGAAATACAAACAGCAAAAACTCACAGAACTAAACAGGACAATAAACAAATCCCTGATTATAGATATAAATTTCAACACCAATCTTTCATTAATTCATAGAATAGACTAATGTTTGATGTGGATATAGAAGATTTGAACATAGAAAACCCCATGCAATAATAGCCAAATGCATATTTTTTTTTCAAGTAGACAAAGAATACTTGCCAAGAGACACCACCACATGCTGTGTTGTAACATGAGTCTTAACATATTTAAGGGGATCTGCCAAGTGGCAAGGTAAAGATAATACAGTGAATACTTCTTAAGGAAAAGTGGCAAATAAAGGTCCTTTTTAAAAAATACATACATTTTTGTAATTCAGTATAGTCATTCTAAGTCAACAGAAGAGTTTAGCTGTTTGTGACATATTGGACATCTGGTTTTGCTTCCTTTCAAAACCCCATATATTTAGTCTCATGGGCTGTATTATACTATATTTTCCAATGGAATAGTGTTGCTTTATCCAGGATAAAACATGTAGTACTTGGCCAGCAAGACTATGGGTAAGAGCAAATCATAGTTATATCAAAGGATAAGATTTCCAGTAAGAGCAGACATAGATATTTGTGAAAAAGCATACTTTTTAAACTTTTTAAAGCTCTTTTTAGATAAACTTAAAAAGTTACACTTCCACAGTTTATGTTCTTTTATAAGTAGTATAATAAAGTAAGTTTTAGTGTTTAAAAAATATTAGCTGAAGACAATCAAATGGAATCAATTTTTACTTTTGCTTCAGTCGTAGTAATATTAGTTCTAATTAGGACAAATGTAGAATTTAAAAAATGGTATTACAAGAGGCAAAATTACTCTTCTTAAAATTATAACAAATGAAAATATCTTACTCTGGCAGGGAAGAGAAGTTTTAAGTAATGTCCTGATAATAGTGTGGCATCTATATAAGCCCAGAGGAAAATGTCCTGATGTCACAAATTAGTTTTGTTTTGTTTTTTTCTTTTCAACAGCTCAGGGTATCCTTGACAAGTGCCCTACCACTAAGCTCAGCCCTTTTTAAAAATAATAATAATTTTAAGACAGTATCTCATCAAGTTATCTGGGTTGCCCTCAAACTTACCATCCTTCTGCCTCAGCCTCACAAATAGCTGGTATTATAGGTGTGTGTCACAAAGCTGGGCACAAATTAGGGTCTTTGTTAGGCATTCATATGCTATTTTGTGGGAAAAACTGTATTCAGAAAATGATGAGACTGTTTGTAATTACTGCTTCATTTGAAACAAATAATTTTTCTGGACTTTGAACTTATCAAGTTCTTTGATGATTTAATATAATTGTTCCTCCCTTCACATACTTATAGCATTCAAGAACCTGACTAGGTTATATTGATGTCTGTTTCATCAAGGAATGTACATAATTCTC